TATAAACTGGGAATCATCTTTAAAGAGACCATGGTGTTCTTCAGGAACAGCACCAGTCTCCATTCTTAATGGGGACCTGTTCCTGCATCTTGACACATTTTTAAGATTTTGGCTCCATATTAAAGCTGTAAGGGCTGAAGTGCGTTTGCCTATTTCTGCTTGTTGGCCAAACATTTTACCACTTTTTAATATTAAAAATATAATATAAATTGAAGATATAAAATATAATATACAATTATTATATTTTCACCATGCAGTAGGTTCAGTTTTTAAGCAGGCACCTCACACTTATTTACTTTTTTGTAACTTCTCCACCTCTGGCTGTCTCAGATATTCCCCATAGGTCAACCAACTTCTCACCTCTCTTTTTTGATTGGCATTGTATGGCAAGACAGAGATTATTAATTGTGATTTTGGAGATGATGGGAAGAGCTAGGATTTGCAAAGGCTGGTCATAAGGGCTTTATGAAAGAGTGTTGGAGCAGTGTGGGGAGGGTAGTTAAATACCGTAGCTTGGATCTGTGAGCAGAAACAGAAGGTTTGCTGAAGCTGAGTGGAGATTGCAGGGAGCTTTAATACTCACATTTTCTCATGTGGCTACCTGCACAGTCATGTCCCCTCTCGTGTCCAGTCCAGTCTTAAAAGTCTTCCTTCTTTTTTAAGTCTTTGCAACCTGTTCCCAGTTTTTGAACCCCAAGCACCAAGCTTGCTGCCTACTTTTGGCTGAAATAATGGCTAGTGGGAAAGAGAAGAGATGGTGCTGGAGTCCATAGCCACTGGTACAGTTCTGTATTTCCTGCTGATAGCCTTGCTTAGTGGCTGGGGATATCTACAACAGAGCTGCTGATAACAACACTTCTAAATAAAACCAGAACAACAACATATACATTACACTAAGACAACAATATACACATTACTCTCAAACTATCTGTCACTGAGTTGGGGTTACCTAGTTGCGTTGCTTGTCCTTTCAGACTGACCAGTTCAGCAAGGCAGCCCCAGTGACAAAGGATTCCTGTCTCCAGAGACCTCAGGGGTTTCCTCACACCTACTTGTAACCATAATATAGTACCATGAAGAGAGGATGGAATAATTAATAAGGTGCCCACATGCATATAAGAGTTTAAATATAAAATTGACTATATTTATTAAAATGCACCTAGATTAATGTTTATAAAGATTAATGTTTCAGGTGTGTTGATCAAGCCCGCTGGCGCTTCTACAAACCAGCCCTTCATTTTACTCTTTATATAGTGCAAAAAGAGTTTCAGAGTATCACATAGTGTAAATAGGTTCTTCTGGCTGTATTGGGACTGAATTTTTTCCTCTTAGCAGAGGACAGATGCTGCTCCCCAGCATTTTAGGTGGTTATTTAATGTTGGCCTGCCTGTTCCTTTGATGCCTCTTTTTTTCTGCACATAATTTCATTTCAGTGAAAGGAAGGATTGTATTTTTGAACCATCAGAGCTACTGGCCCTGAGGAAGAAAAAAAGCAAGCTCCTACAGTTAAAAAAAATGGTACAATCTGGCAAATCATATCAACTAGAAATCACTTTAAAAATGCTCATTCCTCAAGAGTGGCAAAGACTCATCTATTTAATTACTCCTGTTCCCTGAAAAGACTGAAGCTGTGGTCTTTAAAGAAGAGATGTCACAACTGAGGCAGGTATGCTGCTTAAGGACTGGCTTCAAGTGGGCCTCAAAGTGCTGGGGAACTGTCTGAACAAGCTGAAGAAGAACAATTCGGTCTGCAAGACCCACCAGAATTAATCTGGGAGTCCCAGCTCCCTGGCAGTCTTACTTAACTGGCAGCGTCCAGAGCTTTATCTAGTTCATGCTAAACAAACTGGGAAAGTAGCAAGGGACAGTACAGGAAGGAAAAGTAATATTGAATACACTTTCCAGTTAATGTACCTTAGGAATGGAGTTTAAGACATTCTGTCTTCTTATTGCATATGTGGTAGGAAAATAAATGAGAACGAGAAAATGAGAAAAAAAAATGTCTCTGAAGCATTTTAGCAGCATAAAACTGGAAATACTGTATCACCCCTGCAGGATACACTTGAGGGAATAAGTAGTTGTATGTATTGGCATATTTTTTTGGCATGATAGTTTTAAATTATGATTTAAATTAATTTATTAAATTAATATTTTAAATTATTTATTCAATCTATTACAATTAATCAGATAATTTTATCTTTGATATTATGTATTGTTTATCTACTTAGTAGAATAAGTGAGTGAAATCTTTTATTCAATCAGAGTGTACATATTTCTGTCCTGAAAACTGCTAAAACGCTGCTCCATGGGGCAACATGAAACTAGTTGATCTACCCATGGAATGAGTCTCCTTGTACCAAAAGATTTTAGTACATTAGAGCATCACATCTGCTGAGTTAACTGCGTGTCTGATCTCTTGATACCCTTCTTGGAGGTATAATTTTAATCCTTTATCCATTACTTACCCTAGCACCAGAATCCATCTTTTTCTCCCTCCTGAAGAGAAGTTTAGAGTGACTCATAGAAGTCTTCAGATAACTAGCTTTGCCAGCCGGAACTGCATTGAATATCCTTGGCTTTCATTCACAGAGCAAGGATGAGAGATTTAGGCAATAGCTCATCTCCTGTTACTCATCTCACAGGGAGTCTTTGAGAGGACTACAGTATATTATGTTTTCTTTGGTGGATATGGCTCTTCATCATAACTTCCTCTCAGTTTTTGGAAGAAATATAGATTATCTAGTACTTAGATTAAACATCAGTGCAATTTCATTTCAGGACCTTTCTTTGACAGCCCTCTTGACACAGGTAAGATTAATGCATACTTTCTTCACATAAGGCAAAGATTGAAAAGGCTGGATGGCTACATAGTTCCAGTACTGGAAATCTCTCTCTGCCTCCCCTTGGTTAATTTTTATTTCTATAGAAGGCTCACCATCAAGCCAAGAATATGCAGCTATAAATATTTATTCAGCATTTCTCGTTGCAAGACATAGTGTACAATTGAAGTGCCAGATCTCAAGAACTAAACTCCAACAGTGTACATTGGAGACTGGATCCAAGACTCTCTGAAGTCACAGAAGAAAATCACATCAAATGTAGTAGTTTGAGAGTCTTTAGGGCTTCTTACTGCAAGGAATCAGGTCCACTGAGATTTAACTGTGTTTTCTGGAATGGAATTAAATGTGGATTTTACTTCTTAGGCACATGAAAGTTAGGCATTATTGTCAAGCTATGAAAAGAATACAGCTTGTCCTATATCTGGGCACTGAACTCTTCTTCCTCAGTAAGCTCCAGTCTCCAATCCATTGTACATCTACCTGCCTATGCCTCTGTCGGGGAAATAAAGTCAGAGGGAGGAATACAGGATATATTCGTAGCTCTCTTCTCTTTAAGTGTCCTCTGGAGGAGTTCAATACAAAGTTCAAACACAGGTGGAAAACAGCAGGCACCTGTAACTTTATAAGGGGATGCATCTCTCTTCTGTATGAGGAAGAGCTTCCTTATGTCCGGATGAATCCACTACTATATAGAAGTACTTGCAGTCTGTGGTGGGTTGACCTCGGCCAGCTGTCAGGCACCTACCCAATCACTCCCTGCCCTCCTCAACAGCACATGGGGAAGAAAATACAATGAAAAAGCTCATGAGTTGAGATCAAGACAGGGAGGTCACAAAGCCAATGTGTCATTTAGCTATGTTCAGTTCTGATATCTTTTGCCAGAAAAGACATTTCTGACACAAGAACAAGAGAGCAAATGGAAACAATGGTTGCATGCTGCAGCCCCTGGGATTGCCAAACTACTGTGATTGTAGAAGATGAGGTATGAATTTGTTATGCCTGTGGGAGCAAGATCCAGTGGTTTAGTGCTGCTGCTCAACATTTAACACCACATAAGCCTAAGAAGAAAATAAATAGTCTAGTAGAGGAGAGCTATGTTTTAATTATTATGTTGAAAATACAGAAGAGTGAAAATGTGAAAACAAGCATACTTGATACAAACCTCATGTTCTGGCTGTCACTCAGTTTTTCCCTGTGGCATCTCTGTAGAGACGTCTGGGCTAACTCACAAAATGATGTCTCCTGAGAGTTGGTTTGCCAACCAGAATTTGGGGCTGTATTTAGCCACAGGAACCATAAGGTCAGCTCCATATCACTTTGCTTTGTATATTCTGTCTTTTGGCATCAAACATTAATAAATGGGTTAACCAGTTCATTCTTGATTTACCCTGGCATCCTTGGTTTTTTAGCTGGACCTCTTTCTCCAGAATTTAGTTCCTGGTACTTCCCTTACCCAAGAATGCAATTTCTGGCTTTAGACAAGATATAACTGTGATAACTTGTGGTTCTTCTTGCCCCATTCTTTGAGGTATAAAAAGCAAATGCAGTAAATTACTTCTTCCCCTTTGCTGGGATTGTCTTCCTTTCCAAACTGTTACAATATATTATTTACCATGACACTTATTCACTGTGCATGTATCTTATCTGTCTCTTTGTGGTTCTCAGCTTGTCATACATTATGGTTTAGTAGACATGAGGGCACTTATGTTTCCTTGGATGCAGGAACCTGGACGAAGTGACTCAGCCCATCTCAGGGCAAGCCTGGACCCACATTTGCCTTGGTCCTTCCACTGGCATCATAGCAACCAGGAAGGGCTCACGGTTCAGAAGAAGCTGTGGCACGCTCTGGGCAGGGTCCACCCCAGGACACCTTGGTGATCATGTAGCTGAGGCACAGCATTACCACCAGGCTAGATGTAGCTGCAGAGCCATAGCAAGGCCATATTACTAATGTATTACTAATACAATTGACAGATTTTGCATTTAGAGTGGTGTTTTGGTTTTTTTTTCAGAATAACATTTGCTCTTTTGAAGTACCTTTCCTGGCTGCCCCTTTATCAATTTTGGTGCTTCTGCTTTCACAGTTCCTTAATTGGAAGTAAATCAGTTGCAACAGCTCAGTGAAACTTTCTTTTCCTTTTCTTATGTTTGTTTTTGCAGATGGTGCAGTAGCTGAAATTGAGAAAAAGATTATAGAAGTTTTTGAGGCATTTGACAATGAAGGCAGTAATTCTGTGGATGCCAGGTTTGTAAATATCTTCACACAGAAATGTTATAGGATATAGTACAGAGATAAATAACTCCCAAGAACTGCATCTGCTTTACCAGAAAATGTAATTTGGCCCTGATTGGGCAAGTATGTCTTTGCTTGTTTAATAGATATTTTGCATTGTTCAGTGTTGAAGATTGAAACTGGCTTGAGAGAGGGATGCTGGGACTGGTGGAGTAAAGAGGCAAGAGGAAACTGCAGCTAGACCAGAATTCTAAGGCTACAATTATTAATAGCAAATCTCTGCCCTGAATATATTAATTCTATTAAATATAAAATATCTGGGGAGATCTTACAGCAGCCTTCCAATAACCTAAAGCTACAAGAAAGCTCCTACAAGAAAGCTGAAGAGGGATTTTTACAAGGGCAGGTAGGGATTGGACAAGGAGGAATGCCTTTAAACTGAAAGAGGGTAGATTTACATTAGATAATGTGAAAAAATTCTTTACTGTGAGGGTGGTGAGACACTGGCACAGGTCGCCCAGAAAAGCTGTGGTTGCCCCATCCCTGGCAGTGTTCAAGGCCAGGTTGGATGGGGCTTTGAGCAACCTGGTCTGCTGGGAGGTGTCCCTGCTTATGGCAGGGGGTTGGATGTTCTTTAAGGTCCCTTCCAATTGAAACCATTCTATGATTCTATGAAGACGATCAAACTTGATTGTACCAAAAGCCCATTTAGCTCAATACCCTTATCTGAACTAGTAGTTGCTTTGGGGAAGAATATAAGGAATTGAGCAAACATGCAGCATTTCTTGTTGTTTTTTTTTGTACATCCGCCACATTAGTTGAATGGTGCCTGAATTTTTATGATAAACAGCAAACAATCATTCTCTATTAATCTTCTCAATGCCATTAATGATTTCATACCTGTCACATGTCCCCCATCACAGTAGTTTAAGGCTGAAGAGTCTGGATGTGTTTAATCTCTTAGGAGATGCTGCTCCATAGCTCTGGCCAGTTATTATTTTTTTTTTTTTTGTGCTCCTTCTTGTTCAGCTTTCTCCTTTTTGAAATGGGATGACCAGAATGGAGGGAATGGAACGTACAGTTGGGAGTCAAGAGGGAGAACTGCATACATTATGCCTTCAGCATGCAATGTAATGGAAATACATACAACATATCTGTATGAGGAAGTAAGAAAAATTCAGTGGAAGATAAAACCATGGACTGTTAGACTGATCAGGGCCTTACTGGCTCCAAGATACAGAACTAAAAGAAGTAAAATTTTAAAATTCCTAAATATCTTAATTCTGGTATTTTAAAAGTTTGAATATTTGACAGTGCTACTTTAATGTCATTTTAACATAAACATCTACACACATAGCAATACAGCTTTTGTTGCAAAATACGTAAACTGCGTGTTTATGCCTCACTGAGCAGGGTCTGAATTTGTTATAAACTGTTGTTTACTGAAGTAATTTTTTATATTTCAAATTAGTATTTTCACAAGAATATCACCAGAGCTTTTAATTATGAATCAGTTACTATAGAATTATAGAATCATAGAATAGTTAGGGTTGGAAAGGACCTTAAGATCATCAAGTTCCAACCCCCCTGCCATGGGCAGGGACACCTCACACTAAACCATCTCACCCAAGGCCTTGTCCAAACTGGTCTTGAACACTGCCAGGGATGGAGCATTCACAACCTCCCTGGGCAACCTATTCTAGTGCCTCACCACCCTAACAGGAAAGAATTTCCTCCTTACATCCAATCTAAACTTCCCCTGTTTAAGTTTTAACCCGTTACCCCTTGTCCTATAACTACAGTCCCTAATGAAGAGTCCATCCCCAGCATCCCTATAGGCCCCTACAAAGGAGTGTGAGAATTGATGGAATGATCATTAGACATTCCTCACAAAGCCAAACTGCAAAACATCTTTAAATGTTCCAAATGCCTTTTCTACATTATAAAACAGGTGAGAGAGGTACAAAATATTTCTGTGATGGTTTTAACAATGTGTGCTTACTAGTGCCTCTAAATTCAAGAAATTATGGGTACTTCATAGAAGTGAAATGATTTTTCAGTTATAGTAGATAGTGAAAATTTCAGGGTGCATCACCACACTGGGTACCATTGCTGTTCTGTTGCCCTTAGGGACCTTTGGGAAGAGAGCTCACTCAAATCTCTTGGACAATCCCCAGGGAGGTGCCTGATGCCCAGGCTGGAGCTGCCCTGCTCCTGGCATCCCCCAGCTGCCCTGCTCCTGGCTGGGCAGTGGGACAGGTTGTGGCGGCCCTCCTGGGCTTGCCACCTCCATGGGAACCCCTGACAATGCCACCCCCCTGCCCGGGGGATCGCCTCACCCTCACCACACCATGACGTACCCATTTCTTATTTGTCATTTGCATCTGCAGTCCTGACTAAATAGCAGTAAAATTTGCTACAGGTCTCGGTCTATTATATACTGGATATAGAGTTTGAGAAAATGTGACAACAATGAAATGATACAAGCAGACTTCAAAAAAAAAAGTATTTATTCAGGCAGTAGGTCCTAACATGTGAAAGGGGACATTCAGAAGTCTATTTAACATAGTAAATGCACAGTTTCACATTATTTGTTATCATAGTACAGTTACTGACAATAAACAATTTATTATCTAATTATTCCCTGGTTCATATTGGAGGGCTGAATCACAATAATGGGATTATTAATGGCTGGTTGTCTTGTATCAGAAGGTGGCAGTAGAGCACAATTCTTAACAGAACTGCAGCCATACGAATATTATTGCCTGAAATATCAGATACCCGTGAAAAATATGGGCAATTACACTGGCTTGACAGGCTGCCATCAGTATTGCATGATTCCTGATGCAAATACAAGTTATTATGCAATTAAGCACGAGGAAGACAGTGCTGTTCTGTGCTGCTTACAACACATCCTGAGTCAAGGGCTTTTCAAATCTTGTCATTGGAAGTGTTATACAGAGGGTGAAAACCATGACCCAAAGTTACATTACATCCTTGTTATGAAACTGGTATGAACATAAACTCATTTTGACCATCATTTTTGTGTGCTAGAAACCGCACAGCAGAAACCCAGCTGCTCAACTAAGTGAGAGGAAGTGGCTGGGAAGAAAATACGATTTCCTAGCTGGATCCTTTAAACTCTGTGTTATTACCGAATGTGATGTTTTCACCACAGACGCTTCAAACAACATCCTCAGATGATGGCACACACACAGACTGCCAGAAACAGCAGAAAGCAATGCCACATTTTGGAAACACTTCTAGGACCTGGTTTACCTTAGTCCCATGGCTAAGTCCCATTACTGAGTATTACCAAGTCCCATTGCAGAGTATGAGGTAAGGAAGGAGGGTGACAGCAGCCTTTCCATCTCTGGCAGTCTGTAAGAGCAGAAATAGTGTGCGACAGCAAGGAGGCATGATTTGTGTTGGGTGTTTCTCTGGGGGTGGCAGAGAACATTTACAGGTATCTTTTAGCTAGAAAAGATGAGGAAGTACAGGAGTGAGGGCATCAAATATACTATACCCATACTAGAAACAGGGTGCATGGATAAGGACTGTCTGACCTCATTGAGGCCAGTGGCCCAACTCTCATTCACATCCACAGGGGGCAAGGTTTCACTGAGTCATTTGAGTAGATGGCTTAATTTCATAACAACTCTATGTATGGGATTGGGTTTTGTCTTGTAACTAGGTTGCTGCAGCTGGCCTTTTCCTCTCTGTAGTATATGGTAGTGCTTCTCAATGCTTTCAGTCAGAATGGGAGCTTCTTGCGATCTGTCTGAGGAGGCCAAAGACTGACCCGCATAATTTCATGTGTGTTTGGTGTGCGAGTTTAAGACCTTACCATTATAAGATGATTTTACAAAGGTCATTGCTTCTTGTACCTACCATTTTTAATAGGCAGTCTATTTTTTCCACCAAATATACTGGTGAAGATGAAGAAACCACAGAGGTTTGAGTCATGGGAACCACCACCACTGTGGATACTTATTCAAATGTGCTTGCATTTCTGTGTTGTAGAATTGGTCTGAAAATCACAAGAGATATTGATACTTCCATTATTTTGTTTTCAATCATACCCTAAATCTCATTAGCACTCTTTTTTACAGCTTTTTTGTTTCTAGTCTGTGATGTTGTTAAATTTTTTTGAGGCATTGCCAGTTTGGTCAGAATTTTATTTAGAGCCTCAGAACAACTGCACCAGGTTCAGCAGCAAATGCAAGCTATGAATATAATTTGCAGCATAAACAGGGTGGTGACAAACCACTGTACTGGTGTGTTTGACTCTTTCAGAGCACAGCAGAGGCATAGCAGGGGTGCCTCCTTCCTGACCTCTTGTAATTGTTCTTTACTGCAGTTAAAATATGTATCTTTACAGCATTTAATGTAAACATATATTTTGTTACCTTTCATCTCAGTAGGTTTCAAAGTACTTTATTAACTGCATAAATGTAGACTTTACTGAAATTAAGCTTAACAATTAGAGGACAGCAGTTGAAAAGTAACCTGCACACAGTACACTGCAATACAAAGGTAAAGAGGAATTTTTGGGGAAAGTCACAAGAACAATTACATGCTTCCAAAAATCTCCAGAATATTTAATGTCTGTAAAAATAGACATTGCTTACTGAGACATCATCTACATATGTATGCTTGTGTGTGCTTGGGTGCTTTTACATGCACACCCCTATATGCAAACTCTGAATTGGTGTCTGGATTCTCCAGGCACTCTTGTGTTGCAGATTTACAAACAAAGTTGTTCTTTCTTTATTTCAGGGATATTGGTGTAATTGTCAGGACACTAGGTTGCTTCCCGACTGAGGCAGAACTGAATGAACTGCTTGCAAAGGTAAATGTTTAGATATATTGTATTTTTTTTCAATCTTAAACTTGCAGAAGTCTGTCCCTTCTGCCTGGCTGTGTGGGAAACCTAAGCTCTTTTCCCAGAGGTTGGAAGTGTCATAGAAGTGGCTCAGACAGGCAGTCTCTCAGATTGCCCTGAAGCAAGCTTTCAAGCTGATGAGGTAACAATATTAATTGGTCAAAATGAGGAGTGTTTGACACTGTGGCACTGTGACATGGTGGAGGGGCATTTGTAGCAAATGGAGGAAAAATTGGTTTTGGCTGATGAAAAAGACCCCTCAGTTGGATTAGGATATCCAAGCCTTAACCATCTCACTCTTTTAGACATGCTGTGGACACACACTGGATGATTAAATAATAAAATAAGTTCTTGATCAGGTGTTCTATAGATTAAAAAAACTTCCACAAAACACCAAATTCCAAAAATACAGTGAGGGAAGACCTGTTATTTCTTTCACTGGGTCCTGTTATTGCTATCTTGTATCTCTGCTTTCTGTCCTTCATGAGGTCTTTCCCAGTCTTGAGCTTTCTCAGTTGTAAGTAATCTTTTCTTACTTGATTACTTAAGCCTGTAATTCAGAATTCAGATATAAAACCTTTTTAGTGGTCCTCCAATTCTCCCAGTGAAACACAGGGGCAAGGAACTTCAATCACATCTCTCCACAGTTTTTCCTACACTAATTTTTGTCTCCTTACCTCATGCTTGAAATAGAAAGGATGGTGTGCTAGTGCTGTGGCAGGGTATGGTGAACAAATGAGACAAAGAAATGGGAAAAAGACTTCACATTCATTTTGCAAACTGATATGCTGCCTTAGGGAATGGAAGATGCTCGGGCTGAGAGGTGGAGGAAGGATTTTTCTCTTTTTCATGTATAGGTCAGGATACTGGGAATTGATCTCTTTTTTCTTCACGTCACCAACAAAAATTTGGATGCTTGCAGTAGCAGTCTCTCCTTGATAGGCTTGTCTGGTCTCTTGTAGATCAGAATTTAGTGTGAGAAATCTTATGCTAAGTCTTGTGAAAATGATGCAGCTGCTTCAGATGAGGAAATGCAAAGAACCATCAGAGGAGAAAGAACTTTTAATGTGATACTGCAGTCTGTCTGCTCTGGCTCTGTACTCCCAGTACCAGATTGTCCCAGCTTCTACTGACAACAAGACAAAATGGAATGAGAAATTATGGTGCTTAAGATCGATGATATTTTTAGTGGCCCAGAGGGATTTTTGTTTGCAGCAAATGAACAGCACAAGTGACTCAAGATTCAGAATTGAGAAAAGGAAGGGGATGCTTTGACCACCTCTGCCCAGTCCAGGGAAACCAGGACAGTTGTTCAAGGCCTCCTTTCCCCTCCCAAAGAGGTTGGACTTCCTTTTGTTTTTCATTTTCTTCTTCTTCAATGTTACTGCATAACAAATAATGCATAAGAAGGTGCAATACAATACAGGAATGAGGCAGAAGATTCTTGAGATAGAATAATGTAACATACGTGATTGTTGATTGTAACTGTATTAAAGTACAAATACTGCAAAAAGTACATTCAAGAGTACTGGTTAAAGAGCACTGAAGTGGAAATTAAATCCCACAGAAGGTTTCATGGTGCCTGTAAATGAAACTTTGGCGTAGGTTTAGTACCAGAACAACACTCTTCTTGTGAAACCCTTGATATATCATGTTAATCAAAAGTTTGTCTTAATTTCTTTAAGACACTGTTATCATTGACTATGGTAGTATAATTTTATCTTAATCTAGATATAAAGTAAAAATTCTCTCTGTTGGCCAGTTGTAATCAATTTCTCCAGTATTTTTTCTCATTGTAAGCTGTGATTAATTTCTGTTTCTCACTACTTGTGTCTCTCAGTAATCTCATCTTCCTATTAGCTTTATTGTAGCTAAACTAGCATATGTTGCCCTCAAATTATTCATATCTGCCAAATCAGCATTCATATAATTATTTTATTTGTAAAAATTATCATATACTGTTTCCTATATTGCTTTATGCTAAATGTTATACGTAATATTATGTCTTTAGGCCTATTTATAAAGTTAAGCGATAAGCCTGGAGATGGTGAAAGCTACTTTCAGGATTATTACAATGCCTGCAGTTTGAAATCCCAGGTTCAGTGCACTGCTGTGCCACAGATCTCCTGGACAGCTCTGGAAGATGGTTCTGTTTCTTTGTGACTGGAGTCCCAAATGTTACATGGATGATAATAGTATGGCCGTGAGAGCAGAGATATGAAACATAATGGGTGCTATGATACAGTTGTTACAGGGGCTGTAGATGTACACAAAGGAAAGAAATAAAGCAAAACTCACAGAATTTGAACAAACAAAACCTGTTGTTTTCACAGTCACTGTGAAAAGAGGAGGAATTACAGAAAAAAGAAAACATAAATGGGAAATGAAATGTAGAACAGGAGTGAGCATGAGGAAGAGTAAGAGTATACCTATACCTGCAAATCTGAATACTTACTGATTTAGGCAATGTTAATATATTAATATATATTTATATAATTTATAATTTATACACATATGTATCCAATGTTAGAAATAGGATTGATTTTAACAGTTTATGATATTGCTGGGTCTGTAAGACCCACTGAAACGGAAGGTGTTCGTTCCAGGTCAGAGGCAGCTGAGGTTGTTTATCACCTCCCAGGTCCATTGTCAGGAAGGACACATTTCTTTCACAGACTGGTTTCTAGAGGGAGAATAAAAATAGCACACCGATAAAAAGAGACAAATGTGGATTATATTTGTCAGTGAGGGATAACAGTTTCACAGGTATTTGCTACATCAAACTCTGAAGTGGTCATGAGAGTGAGTTCCTCTGGTATGAAAATTAGGATGAACTTCAGATGTTTGGATGAGCAGATCTAATGTTTTGTTTGGGTTTTTTTTTTCTTTCTCTTAAACATCTTCTATATAACTTGCCATCTTCATGGATGTTTTGGGTCCTTGCTTTACTTTGTTCCGCTTAACACAAGACATGTCTATTTCTGATAAATAGCTACCACATTTATTTTTCTGTCTCTGTGGACTTCTAACCTAATACTAGATGAAGGACAGATGTTGCTAAAACATCCTATGTACTTATGCATCTCAGTATTTGTGACGCAGTGTATTGGTTAACTGTTACGTCACTGAAAAGAAGTTCAGTTTTGCCAGGTATTTTGTTACATCTTTTCAATCAGGCAAGCAGTAAAACAAATGATTCTGTAGCAGTAAAAGGTACCATTTGATTTAACATGAAGTGTGTAGCAGCTTTATTTCCTTGCTAAGGATCCCTTATGCTAGGCTTGCCAAACAGAGGGGAAAAAGTGTCTTTTTCAAGCCAGTTTCCACTCTAAAGCAGCAAGAGGTGGTGGCTGCCTCCTTTTCACAACCAAAACCCTTCAAGAGCACTGGAATAGATCATGCAGCAGCAATTGCAGCTTTCCATTTAAGCAACTGCATGTATCAGTTCTGACCCAGCTCACAAGATGCAGATTTCTTACTTTGTCTTTTCCTGGCTTGGTTAGGAGATTTCAAAAGAGTGTCTGAGTCTTCTTTCAATCTGAGCTGTGTCTTGGAGAGCCTAGTAAGGTGTTGCTGCTGCCATGTGAGACTTCAAGACATGCATCCAGGTTCAACACAAACAGGAACAGGCTAGCTCCATTAGAGGGGTCCTTTTTGTACTAAAACTTGAACTTTTCAGGGAGAGGATGTACCCCAATGATAGGGAGCAGTTTTTACCACATTGCTCATCTCTTGTGGAAGTATGGGAATGTAGTGAGAATGCTGCTAGGAGTCCCTGATGTCTTAGGACTAAACTGTTAATTTATTCAGGAAGCAAAAGGAACCTTTTCTTTGTATAGCTTTTTATGGGCTGCCTTATGACTGTTTCAGCCTGCCCTGGCTCAGTCTGCCTACTTCTCTGGTCCTTCCCCTGATGACTCTCTCTGGCTATGAAACATGTGGAGACATCAAATTCCATCCTTGAGGTGTACTAGACTGGGGCTATGTCCAAACTAGCACATTAAATACGCCTAGAAACATCCTTGGGTGTTGAAGCCAGCTGGCACAGAGCAGCTCATGTCTGCCCTGGTAAATGTTTTATGCAGAGAGGCTGCACAAAGCAGCTTGCTGGGGGAAAGTCCCTAAGGTCCTGGTGACTGCTGGGAGGAGTGGTAGGTGGCACAGGCCAAAATCATGCCAGGGAACGTGCTAATGGTTTGCTGTTACAGGTGGCCACGTTACACTGCTTGGGAATATTCCAGGTTCTGCCAGGCTTCACTAGCATGAATGCAGTCTGAATGCTTAAACCTCTGCTCAGTTACTCTGGGAGATAAGATCACTTACTAGGCGTCCGGTTCCTTTGCACGAATGGTTTCTAAGCACAAGAGGGCAGTATTGAGTTGTTGACGGTGTCTCTAAGAGCAGGCCTGTGTTTTGCCTGGGATGGTATTTCTTCCTCTTATTTCTATTTGTTCGCAAGTATTTCACTCAGATGCTATGGTGCCATGTGATATTAAAAACCTGATATAAATATTCAAAGTCTAACACTATAATTTTAATGCGGGAACCACCCCAGTTTTCTGGTTTTCATATTAGCTTGCTAATGAGTCATATAACCTGCCATACTTAAGTTTTATTTTTAGGTAGAAGATGAAGAAGAAACAGGTGGTTACGTTCATCTGGAAAACTTTCTTCCTGTGATGACAAAAGTACTGCTCGACAGAAGGTAATGGAAAGTGGATTTTTCTGTGTCTGTAGTTCATTCCAGATTAACTGAGTTGATGCTGAATAAATATATCTACAGTAATTTTATATAACTGGAAAGAATACCGATTATTTCTGCCTTGGTATTTAAACTCAGTTTACATTAACTTGATAGATTTTGTTTCAAAATTACTTTGTTTACATGAGATTATGTTGTATGGATGATATAAATAATATCAGTTTATAGTCGTGAATTGTGATAATGTGAATCAGAATTAACTTGCTATTCAACATGTTTTGTGTGTCTCTGAAATGTTTTATATGCAAATTAAGGTCATAACCATTACTTTCTCTGAACATATGAATTAGAGTTACTGAAAAGCACAGTCTGTTACAGTGTATTTTTAATAAGTTGTATAAATCAGCTTCATATTCATGTGTGAAAGCGACTGCCAGGTACAGTTGAATGTACACAAAATAGCACTCTGAAAGACTACTGATTTGAAAATCTAGAACAAAAATGCTGTTCAGTATTCAAAGGTTCATGGCAATCTTTGCATGTACACAGGAACTTGTGTTATTTCAATATTTTCCACTAAAAGCAAGATTACTTATGGGCAATTTATCTTTTTTTTTAAAGATGGCAGCCAAAGGTTTTGAGGGACTTCATCTTGTCCAATACTGAGAAGCTATTTTGCACACAGAAGGCCTTTGGTAGGCGGGTGTGTTACACATGAAATGTCTACAGGATTTCCCAAACTGTCTTGCAGCATCCAGAGGGAGTGGGGCCACCCTGGGGCTGTGTTTCAGAGTCTTTGCACCCATGCCTGGACAGAGACCAGCCGTCAGTGTTTGGTACCAGTGTGCCTTTCCAGGTTCCTGTGCCTTTGCATTCTCTGACCTTCATGTCAGTTTCTGGCTCTACACTGATGTTCACCCTTTCCTAAAATGATACCTTGATGCTCTGAGCTCTCACCCTCTCCTCCACACTCCCTCCACACAAACACACACAAAACCTTCCCCTTGTGCTTTGCCCAGGCTAGTGCAGGCTTGTCAAGACCCACTTTATCTTTTGGGGCATTATGTTCATAGTTTACTTCTCCAAGGGTACATGAGATTTGGATCACAAAAAACAAGGCCTCTTGTTAGAACATTTGATTTTTAGATAGTAAAAGAGTGAGGCGGGTCTGGACAAAGCAATCAAGCAGTTAGAACCATTCTGGCTTCAACGTCTTCTCTTTAGTATTCTTGGGGGTTGGTGAGAGTCTGCTGGGCTGTGGAAGGTCTCTGTTGCTACACAGGGCTGCCTTTCCAGCTCTGAAATCAGGCACACATATGCACGCACACACGTGCCCAGTTCTCCTGTGTCTCTGAAACTGTCAGTGACATAGCTTTTCTTTTATAGCCACCAGCCTCCTTTGCACATCATCAGCTCATTAGACTGTCAAAGTCCCACTGGGTGATCAGTTGCCTTAGCTACCAGCCTACTAGGACAAAACTTCATTTCCTTGGTTTGGCCATCTTATGTTCAGTGCATTGGCTACGTGGAATGATTCACCTGTTACTGATTCCTGCCTGCCAAAACATGCAGAGCCATTCATGTGGCTCCTTAACACAAGGGAAATTAAACAGGAGTAGAATAAAAGACATGAGGTAAAGATATGGACAGTTCAAAAAAAATCAAGCTGGAATCAAATGCTTGACAGAAAAACTTAGTAAATTCTCAGAGAAAATAAGTTTTCCTTTTCCTTTAGTACTAATTTTATTTTTTCAGTATAGTACAGCAGCCTGGCAAACAGTGACTTAACTTTTCTGATTCAATTGTTTCAGCTACCGGCCTATTCCAGAAGATGTTCTTCTACATGCTTTTGAGGTCTGTAAATAAATACTCCAGTACCCAATTGCTGGAAAGAAGTTTCTGATTCTTGGTTCAAAATGATTAAACCCAAGTTTCATTCTTTTTTCCTTAAAGGTTTTGGATGAGAATAAATGTGGATATATTACTAAAGAGGATCTGGTCAAATATTTGACTGAAGAAGGTAACATGACTTTTGTAATATCAGTACTTAAGTAAATAAACATTACATGTGTATATGGCACCTTGAGGTCCTCATTCTGCATGCCAAAACTTGCAGAAGTAGATACATTGTCTTCAAACAATAGTGTTGCTGTGATGAGTGGCTGCAGACTAGAACACTTCACTGGGGAATAATGCAGGAAAGGAACATTCATCTGCCTGCTTGCAGACATTATAAGATAAAAATTATTATTAAGAGTTATAATTCAATCTTATGTGGATATTTTCTGATCCTGTGTGCATCTCTGTGCTTCCTAACAATCTGACATTTTCTGTCCTGTAAAATGGTTGGTTGGGTTTCCTGATGATTCAGGTAGTTTCAGTGCTCATTCATTCCTACATTATCTTGATCTTAATTCTAGTGCCATATGCAAACAAAGAGATTCAAAGACGAGATTTGAGTTGTATATCATGTAATCCTCAATATCCCTTGAAGAGCCTGCTTTTCTTGCATGTCTGATTCATGCGTGCCTGCCTGTCTCAGGTACAAAATGATGTGCAGCCTTTCTGCAAGACCTATCCTCAGATGGGAACCTTCTTCTCAAAGAGGGATGAAGTAGGCATCAGCAGCTTTAAAGCTTCCAAAAAGAGAAAAACCAAAGCCTTTCACAATGTAAATGCAAGTGCAAGGATAGCCAAATGAGAGAAAATCATTCTATTGTACACATTAGAAGAATTAATTCTGCCAAAAATGGTTGCTTCAACATCTCTGGGGCAGAGCAGAATAGGACATTTTTGAGTCTGTGAACTAAAAGGAGATCAAAAAACCCAGGCCCTCTGTCTCCTTTCCCTTAGACCAGCTTGCTTGGTGTGCAGGACTCACATTTGCAAAAACGAAGGAATCGGAACCTTCGTGTTACACCTTTTCTCCTCTGTGTGAGGACCAAAAGGGGATCCTTTCAAGGAAAAAGTGGGATGACTTGCCAGTCCTTAAAAGAATAATGAAGACAAAGTGTTATTCTCTGCTGTCTTTCAGGTGAGCCCTTTACTGAGGAAGAAATGGAGAACATGCTCTCTGTTGCTCTAGATCCAGAAACAAACACTGTTCGCTACAGAAACTACATTTCAAAGCTGGTAGTAGATGAAACTTAAGATCTTGCCGTTTAGTGATTGGGATGCCTTTTGGTAACAGCAGTGTACACTGGCAGTTAGTTGAAAGGAGTATTTCAAAGTGTAACAAAGCTCAATTTGTAACTATGCTTATAATTCAAATAAAATCTGTGTAGCTATATTTCCTTAGGTTCTATATACATGTTGAAATATAGTCACACCTGGAAAAAGAGCTCTTGACAGAAATACTGTGTAAGGTCTGGAAAAGAAATCATGGAATTTGGTTTGAAAATAACAGGAAAAATAATGTTAATGGAGTCAAGAAATTACTTTACAATTGCTTCTGAAAACCTAATGGAAAAATGAGACCTTGAAAGTGGGTAATAAGTAGGTAAGTGAGTACCTTAAGATGACTAAAATTGTGAAGGCATGCTACTAAGATAAAGCTTTTATATTTATATGTAATCCTTGTTTGTGCTTAACTAATAAAACACGGTAGGCTACTCCTTTTGAAATATAATAGATCAAATAAGCTTTCTACAATTTCTGGGTATAGTCAAATATTTGTGTTTGGTTAACCATAGGCAATTAAACTGGACCAGTTAGTTCTATTTTATGCGACTCATCCATTGGCACATGGTATTTTGCTTCCATTTTAAACACGCAGGTAGCGCTCAAACCATTGCCATAGTCAAATTTACAAAGAAATCCTCAAGAACATTTCTGTTACTATAGGTAATATACAGTTCCTCTTTCATAACCAGTTTGAAAGTCAGGAGCTTAAGCTGTTCAAAACTCTGCACTGTTGCCTTGAGATCATGGGACTGGAATTTGGTTTTCATAAACTCATAAAGCACTTTTTTTTGAAAGATGTTAGTGTAGAATACATGTCTCAACTATCCTGCTAGAAGACCACCACAGACCTCACTGCTCTTCTCAGTTCTAGCTGTTGTCCTTTAATATGACTTCAAGGTCTTTCCTCTCAAGTTCTTGCCTTGTACATGGTCTTCTAACAAGTAACCAATGGTTGCCCTCAACTGATGAGGTCTCATTTAGTAGGAGAAGAATCTGTGGTCTGGTCCCCAAGGACACCATCTTGCACTTTGTGCTCCCCCCCTTCCACGCCATTTCTATTTTTCTACTCTCTAATCAAGTTTGTTTTCCTCCTGTACATTGTTCACTCCTCTGCCTCAACTATATACCCCAACTCTGTGTCATCAACAGACTTCATCATCTGAGCAAATCTGGGGAAGACTGATACACAGAGGCATTAAACGCCTTACCCCCTGTCATACTCTTCTAGTGGTAGAGTTGAGAACAGAGCAGAGGGCTCCTCACGTCAGGTCTCTTGCTCTACGCATTTGTTTCACTTGAGGTGGAAGCTTAGAGGAGCTGTTTCCATACAGAGCTGCAAGGGAGCTGGTATGCCTCACAAAGAAGAGATTATCATTATCTAAATGTGATGATGGAAGCATTCTGAAAGAGATAATTTTTTAATTCTTGTTTTACTTCTTTAACCCAAGCTGTCTTTCACTGCTATTTTCCTGAAACAATAAGGCAACAAAGGGTTGATGCAGGTAAACAACATTTGCCTATTTGTAAGCTGTATTTCCATCTGGGAACCACAGTTGCACTGATCCTAAGACTCTGCAGTGCACTCTAGCTAACACATTTAGTGTGTATTTCATTTCTTTGTCAGTAAGAATGAAAAACAAAGGTAATCATTAGTGTTATAATGTGTGGAGATATAGGTTTTTGAAGATTAAAACAAGAGCAACAAAGGGCCATTAAGAAAACATATTTTTTATTAGCCTTCTTTAGTCTCTCTTTTAAAGCTGAAATTATTTTCCCTAGATGAATCTTTCTCCCATTTGATATGCAGTGTGTTGTACTGGATTTCTAACACAGCTGGCATGTATACAACTTTAATTCATATTCTGCAGTCTCAGAGCCACTGTCAGCTTCATCTTGGATGTCAGCAGGAAGATGTTTATTTCAGGAAATCGTTTCATAGCTCACGGTGCTCCAGAGAGACCAAAATTTGTTTCTAGTGGTGCTACTCCCAGAGACTGCCTCAGCTGTTGGTGTACCAAATCAGGATGGCCATGTACAACACAGTTACAATTCATAGCGTAGATACCATCTTAACATATATCCTTTAATGATCTCTATATAATTTTGTATTCTGCAGTCCTCAAATGCAAGGGAAGAGGGTACTCTGGCAAGTAAAAAGTGTGATTGTGTCTGAATTTATCACACAGCACCTCCTTCAGACCCATTTTCTTATACCTGTCCCGAAGAAAAATACATACAAATAGGACAGATAAAAGCAAATTGCAGTCTTCACTTTGGGCATAAGTAACCAAATTCCATTTCCTAGAAGGTTTCCAAATTTGGGTGAAGGAAGTGTGAGGAACAAATCTCAGACTCTGTAGGATCCTAAAAGCTGAGTGCTCCCTGCCAGCTAGGATCACGTAGTGGTGATCTGATGGGCTTGTGAAGGAGCTCCCCATGGGTCACCCCAGAAGCACTGAGCAGTGCCACACACAGCTGTCCCCTTGTCCTCCATGACTTGCCAGCCTATGCTGTGCTCACCCATATCTCCCCATGACTGTGGCTGGCTGCTTAAGGGGGACTTTTTGAAGCTCCCTGGCACTGGCTCTTTAAGTGCCTTGTCTCTGTGCTCTCTTGGGCCCATACCTTAGGGGAAAGGGCAAGAAAAGAGACTTGGGGAGCAGCTTTGCTATAACCAAATGCTCCTCTTTGTTTCTAAATTTGAAAGGAAAAACACATTACTATGTCCTCATCTTTGAGGTGGACAAATTGAACTACTGAGTGGTCTTGTGATGTCTCTTCCTGCATGCCTCTCCTTGCTGTTTTGCCTCTTCCCTCAAGATCAGGAACCAAGATAACAGAGTGGATTGCATGGAGAAGCCTCTAGGGAGTAACCAGCCTAGCACCTGGACTAAATCCACACAGGGGAGCAGAGCCAAGACTTTGAAGAAACTGGGAAAGTCAGAGGGTTTTTGACCCAGTTGAGGGAGGGAGATGGAAGGGAACTCATTACCCAGATGCAAAAAAAGAAAAAAAAAACCAGAAGAAATCAAAGAAACAAACGCTGGAAACCATCTACAAATACAACTGAATCAGCAGGCTGTTTACGTCACTGCTGCAACTTGTAGGCTGGACAAGACTTTACTTGTCTAGAACTTTAAGTTCAGCTGTGTCAGGGCATATCTGGCATAAAGTGGAGACCTTCTCAGTCTTACTGATACAATGGAGAAGTTCTTCCAGTTGCTGAACTTGTGTTTGGGAGTCCCATTGCTCACATTCCAGATCATACATTGCTTTTTATGTTTCCCTTACCAGCTTTGGAGTCGCTACTTTAAAACACTTTGCTGTCTGCTAGTGACAGTTCTGTATATATTCACACCTGAAGGCTTCAATGTTTTCACATTGTACTGCATACCAACATGGCATTTACAGTTCTTTTAGACTCTCCAATGACTGAGGGCAGAAGCAGAAGTTGCAGAACATCCTCCACCAATACACTAAAGGGCCAGCATCAGACCTGGGACTCCAGGAAAGGAGCCAGGCTTTTCACCTATGCCCCTCCACCCATGTTTCACATGCAAAACATTCAGCCTGTTACCTCTGTTCAGGCAACAAGAATTTGCAATGTATTTTCAGTCTATCTTTTCTCTTGGTTCTTTTATACCTTGTTTCATTAATCCAGTTGCATGATAACCTGTTGAAAATGCAAGAGGGTTTTGCTCTGCCCCACTCTGTCGGTGCCATGAGCTGAGCTGCTTGCTCTGACAGCTGCCCATATCAGGGTACCATTTATGACTGAATTTAGACTTGCTGCCGCTGAAACCAGCACTGACAAAATGCTCATCACAGATAACAGGGAGAACCAAGGCCATGTGATAGCCACTGTTAGAAAGCCACAACAGCTGTGCTTGCTGGAGACACTGACAGGTCAGTGTAGGACATCAAAAGTGTTATGGAGAAACTGATCAGGTTAAGTTCTCCTGATGGGTGCTTCAGCTCAAAAATATTGAATATACCTATGACAAAATAATTTTACTCTTTTTAAAGGGACTTGTGATACAGAATTTCATCTAAGTGAAGAACAGTCTGTTATCTTAAACATATGCAATATTGAGATTCTTGTTTTACTTTAGGCTGGAAAAATATGCCAGGAACAGTCAAAATCCACACAAAGTAACAAACAGCAAAAGGTAGCAGAAAGAGAAACAGGTGAGTGCAGCTCTGGTCAAATTCATAGTTCTTTAAATCAGTTAACAGCTCATTTACATCGGAATTTCTAACCAGTTAGATGCAAGCCCAAAGAAGCATTTGATCACTGCAACTGGTAATAAAATTCGATTAAATTTATCAGGCAACTGCCAAAATATGAAAATTTGCAGATATGATAAAGTAGCTTTATCTGAACTTGATCAGGACAGACAAAAGTAAGTCATTCTATTGGTTAAAAAAAACCCTACATTCAATTTTTACCAAACAAAATTTCACATGAAAAGTATTGTGTGATTCCAAAGTTTCTGGAGTAGAAATCAGGTGATTTGAAAAGTCAAAGACCTCATTGTTTTGCAAATAAATGAAAATACAGGGGGGGAAGTGGCTGGGGATGCTGGAGTTCAGCCAAGGCTGGGATGGGAATCTATATTTTTTTAAGTCCTGTAATGTCCTGTTATCACTATGTAAAGGGGGAGCATAATCTTGACAGTAAGGCACCAGGCTGGAAGGCAGGTCTCATTCTAGACTTTGTGAGAGGTAATGGGTCAGTCACATAATCTCTTCCTATCTGAACTTCCCATCTGTAAAGTCAGAGCAATTGTAAGGAATAGGAGAGAGGGAATATCTGTCTTGCCTACCCAGACTGTCGACTTTTTGTATCGCTAACTCTGATGTTTGCACAGTGTCTGGTACTGTGATGTTCTGATCAAAATCATTGCCTACAGACCTCAGCCTTAAAGTCTTTTGTTCCAGACTGTACATTGAGGTCGCAACTTCTGAACAGGTCAGTCTACAGCAAGTACGTTTGTCTTTCATTGAACACAATTTTGTTTCATACTGTTTCATGCCATGATAGTTTTGATTGTAAAACTAGCTATTAAAACATCTGGTCTTATTGTTGGAAGGTTTCTTTTGGGCAGGTCAGTACTAGGCATGGGAACTATGGTGATTTAGAAGCTAAATAAAGATGTAGGTTGAAACAAAACAGATTCTCCTGTTTAACCCATTTTGAATCCCTGGGGCTACTATTTGGCTTAGTATAGTTCTGAAAGCCAAGAAAATGTTAGTCATTATACACAAAAGATTGATCACAGCATTTATATCCTGAGGCCCAAATCCTGAAGTCCTTATTCAGACAGAACTCCCATTGACTTCAAAGGGAATTCTGTCTGCAGGAGAGCTTCAGAAATAGTGATGTACTGGCTCACAAGGCACTGTAAAAACCTCTTAGCCTCATTACATAAAGCCTCATCTGTGGAAGATCTAACAAAGATGTACAACCAGTGTGCAAGTTGTGT